CAGACACTGAGTTCAGTCCTCTGAGCTGAACTTCAAAGCTCCCAAGACACCCGCCTCCCCAGGCCCTTTAGCTCAGAATAGTCTTCTGGATGAGCCCAAAAGAGTAGGAATTGTGCATTCTTTCATTTTTTTCTTCTCTAATGATCTTTACGTCCCTCCTCAAAAAAGGCCCCACATACATGAAAGTTCTGAGTATCTTCGGTTTGGATCCTCTGATTGCAAGCAGTGTGCAGTCTTAGAAAATGATTTCAGGATTTCAGATCCATTATCTTGCTCCTCACCATTCCCACCTCCCTCCTGCCCTCATCCAGGACAGGTGTTTTAGACTCATATTACAGAGGGAAATGGAGGCCCCAGGAGGTGCTGGCTTTGGCTGAGGTGACACAGGCCAAGAGTCAGGGCTCTGGCTGTTCCCCCTTTCTGCTCCCTCTCCTATCAGCTGCTCATCTTTGTCTTTGCTTCCCTAGGATTGCTCTGAGTGTCACACATGGTCATGACACCAGAGCAACAGCTGCAACGCCCAATTCCCAAATGCTGGTGGCCCCACTGGAGCCAAGCTCAGAGCCAGGGAGGAGATACCTTCCTCCCCACAACCTCACTGGTTTCTAACAACCTCGTCCCCACTGGGAGGAATAATTTCCAATGTCTCCTCTTGGATACATGTGAGCAGTTCAGGGCCGGACTTAGGAAGAAAGTGGAGGTATGTGTTAGGATGATACTAGCCGGGGTAACAAACAAAATTGCAAATTTCAGTGATAACCCAATAGAAGTTCTTTTCTCAATCACATGTGAATACAATTGAGGTGTTCTGGTTGGTGGAGTAGCTGACCTTTATGGGCTGATTCAGGGACTCGGGCTTTTTTCATCCTGTGGCTCCACCATCCCCTAGGGCCCCAGGATCTCTGCTTCCACCCGGAGGAAAGAGAAAAAGGCATGAAGAAGGCATGTGCGTTTCTTCACACCTGCCTCAGAAGTGACATGCACACCACTTCCCACCCATATTCCATTGACAAGAACTCGTCACGTGGCCGCACCTAGATGCGAGGGTCTCTGTAGTCCCTTGATGGGGACACAGATTTGTGATGACTTGCTAGCCATCTCTGCCACAGCAGGGGAGCGAGACAGATGAAATCCCCTCCCTCACCACCTTAGTCCTACAAAAGAGTCGTTTGCCACCAAGTGTCCCAACGTGACCACAAGAAGAACAGTGCCACGTGAGCTGCGAAATCTTGGACCTCAATAGGTTTATCTATAAAATGGATACTTTCATATCTGTGATCTTACAACCTCTTTGGAGAAAACAAGGTAGATGTGATGTTCACAAAGGAAGAAACCAGGATACAAACAGTGTGACTTGTCTAAAATCACACAGCAGGACCTGCTTTCTTCCTACTGGACACAGGTTTGTTCTGCTTTGTTTTTATAAATCAACATCAAAGCTTGCTGAGAAGTCAATTGGACTGAAATATAGGAAAATCTCTTACTCAGCAAATCCATCAGAAAATCTGCTGGGGCCTAGGAGGGTTATGAAGAAAAGGCCTTTTATTGCCTGAAAGGCAGATACAGAGACCCCGACAGGTTCTTGATGGAGTGTGTGGGACTCAGCCTGGACCTGGTGGAGGGTAGGGGGATTGCTGTGGTGAGACTTCCGGGAAGGCCCAGTACTCCTTTACCACCTTGCAGATCCATGAACTCCTTCCATTAGACCGTCCTTCCCCTAGCGCAATGATTCTCAACTTAGGAAGTGGGAAAAAGGGCAACCCTTTGTGAAAAATGCTCTGGTTCTATATGTATATGGACTCTCTCTGGAAGAAGACACAGGAAACAATGACGGTGGTTGCCTCCAGAGAGAGGGGCAGGTCCACTGTATTGCCCACCTCCAGGGACAGCATTAGAGCCACAGAATCTGTGTGACGGTGCCCCCTGGGCTTGTGCTGTGCAAAGCTTGCTTATCTCAGGATACAAGGTGGGCTTATTTCTCATAAAATATTTTTTAAATAGTTAATACCATTTTAAATAATAATGAACACAATTAGAAACCTATTCCGATTTCTGGTCCTATTTGAACCTATTGAATTAAAATTGGCTGAGGGTCAGCCATCTACACAAGTGCACACATATTTTGAAAAATCCTCCCAGTGATTAAAACCTCCTCACCCTCTCTGCTCTCACAGCTTTGGGAAACTGATTTAGTCTCTCTATGCCCAGGTCCCCCTTATCACCTCTAGAAGCTCTCAGCAGGCCTTTCCACCTCTATGAGATAAAGAGAACTAGGAACAGGTGGGGTGGGAGCTCAAGGCTGCTTGAGCAGGAGGCCAGCTTTGTCTCCTGGGTAGTCCAGTCACCCACACACCTGCAGCCCTGAAACACCCCCCATTTTTCTCCCCCTCTCCACCGCAGAGCATCGCTTCAGCATCTCTGGCCAGCACAGCTCAAGCTCAGCCTTGCCTGGGCTTGCCTTTTGTTGAATCATCCTCCGGTCTTGCCAGGTGCCAGAGGAGCAAGCCGCCCACTCACCGCTGGATAAAACCAGCTAATTATATCACCCAGAGACCCAGGGTAGGAGCATGTGGGCATTTTCCAGCTGACCCAGCCTGTTTCTACTTGTTTTGCATGATTGTTCTTGACTTTTCAAAATAATAACAACTACTAACGAGGAAAAAAATTGCCTGGGGCTGTGGAGTATGCTGCTGAAGCAAGGGCCAGGGTCCGCCCACTGCTCCAGGAGAGACCTACTCAGCACTCTGAGCTTAGAAAATAAAAAGCAAGTCTTCTGACTCCCAAGTCAGGGCTCAATAGATGAAGCGGCTCTGAGGACTGGATACACTGGAATCAGCAGAATCAGAAAGACAAACATTGTTTTGACTGCATCAATAACAGCAGCACAGTAATTTCTGTTTTCAAAAATCTTTAAAATTCTATTTGTAGTTTAGTCAAAAGGGCAGAGTTTTGTTTTTTACATGATTTCCTGTGTTCATTTTTTGAGGCGCTAATACATTCACATTGTTCACGGTCAAAAGATGCAAAATGATATGCAGTAAAAACTCTCCCTCCTACCCCTACCCTCTAGCCACCCATTTTCCAACCAGCGTCTGTGGCTGATTTCTTGTGTCTTGTGCCAGAGACAGTTCACAGTCCCTCATTCAAAACCCTTGGGAACAGCTGGGCTTCAGAATCCAGAACTTAGCAGATTTTAGGTGGGTAATAAGGTACATATAACGTGTTCAGTAACACCCCCAGGAGGCTCTGTATAGGGTGACTCATCGTCCCAGTTTTATCACTGTAACTTCCATGTCCAAGGAACTCCTCAGTGCCAGGCAAACAGGACTACTGGTCACCCTAGGTCCAGGGTGTGAGGTATTCACACTAAGAGGGATAAATAAAAACTGCAAATGGCTGCACATCCTTTCAGCTCTAGTTTTGCTACCAAATAAATTTGCCACGAATCAAAGGAAAACCTTTTGGTTTTCAGAGTTTTTTGGATTTTGGAATTATGGATAAGGGATTGTACATATAAATATGCATATATTCTTTTCACCTGCTGAAATGGAAGCAGTGTTGAGCACCTTGCTTTTATCATTCATATCTTAGAGGCTTTCCACATCAGTACAGAGAAAGCCCTCAATTCCTTTTTACTGCTGCATAGTACTCTATCCTATCATATGCATGAATGTTTACGCTGTTTCCAGTCTTCTGATATTACAAACTCATATAGTTTTACTTTTTATTTTTTTAAAACTTTATTTTATTTTACTTTATTTTTATTTTTTAGATGAGGCAACCCTTGGCTGACCTCACAGATTGCAAGGACCTTGTCAGCTTACAATCCCTTATTTTTTTATTTTTTATGTTTTACACCTACAGCACCTGGTCTTCCTAGATGGTCTCCCATCCAAGTACTAATCAGGCCCGACCCTGCTTAGCTTCCAAGATCAGACAGGATTGGGCTTGTTCTGGGTAGCATGGCCATAGACTCATATACTTTTAGATACAGCTAACTACATTAACTACACGGAGGGGGAGGGTAGCAGAGGAAGAACTGGATCCTCATTTCTAATGCTTGTGACTGAACGTTTAAGTCCAAACCTGCTCAGAAGTTGGGGGAAGAGACAAGAAGACCTTCTGAGGTTTCCTGGATCTCCTACACCTGTCTAACCACTTAAAGTCATGAAAAGTCATTCACATTAAGAATAATTTTTTCCGGGCAAAAAAACAATTTACATCAGACCTACTGTATGAGGGTTCTCCAGAGAAACAGGAGAAAAAAAAGGTGGAGGAGAACAGAGGGCAGAGGGAGGAGAGACGGAGAGAGACTCATGCAGTTATGGGGGCTGGCAAGACCATAATCTGTAGTGCAGGCTGGCAGGCTGGCAGGCTGGCAATTTCAGCAGAAATCAATGTTGCAGCCTTTTCTCTTAGGTCTTCAACTGATTAGATGAGGCCCAACCCCATTATAGAGGGTAATCAGCTTTACTCAAAGTCTACTGATTTAAATGTTAATCACATCTACAAATCCCTTCACAGTACCATCTAGACTGGTGTTTGACCAAACAAGTGTGTATTAAGTTGACACAAAATTTACTGTCATACCTATTTAACACCCAACTCCTCAGCTTTGAGGACTTGTCAGTGAGGATGCGGAAGTCCCCACCTTTCCAAAGTTAATAGCTACATAGGAGAGAAAGTCGGGCCCATGAAATAATCACAATGAGTATGTAGAAGTGTCTAGTGTGGGATAAGTTGCCAGGTTCTGAACACAGCCTGGAAAATTCCCTCAAATATAGTCCAGAAAGCCAGAGAAACACTGAGAGTTTATGCCTGACATCAACATAACAGGCTTCCTCTCCTGTTGATTTTGCTTATTTTTAAATAAAAACATAAATCTGTAATAAAGTACACCAGTAGAGTAGCATTAATACAGTCTAACTGTAAGAACACAAGCTCTCAATAAGGAACACAGGAACGATAGACTTTGTGTTACTCCAAGATTAAGCAATTACCCTGCTGTTGGTTTTCCTCATTGGTTCATTCATTCATTCGTTCATTTGTTCATTCATTCATTTAAGATGCTATCAGCCAAAATGGTGACAGGTAGAGGCTGTGGCTGTAGGAGGAGACATGAAACAGTATTCACCAATAACAACAACAACAACAACAATAATGGCTCACATGGGCAAAAATACCACCCAGATAGGTCTCTGGTGACCAGGTCCAGTTAAAGAAAGGGGCTGGATTTCAGCAGATGGGGCCTTGGAAGTCTGAATTGGGAGACCGTTTCCTAAAACCAAGGGAGGATCAAGGTGGGGCCAAAGTGGATTCAATGATGAAGTCTCCTGTAAGAAAAAGAAGACACAATTATAAATATAATGTTGCCGTGGCACTTCCCATGCAAATAAAGAGTCCTAGATGCCACCCTTTGTTATCTTCACCATATGTCTACCTCTGTGTGTAGCTAAATAAGGATCAGGGAGGTAGTGGTATGTGTGTAAGGAATGGCATCTGAGGAGGCCACAGTTTTAAGACTTAAAGGACCAGAATAACCTGAACTGGAGGAGGACACAGGAGAGGCAAGAAAAAGGGGATGGGACCATCCTTCAGTGTCCAGCTCAGCCCGCTTCATGTGTCCTGGACCCCCCTGCTGGCTCTAAAAAGGGTGCTCTGGTGGTTCCTAAACCCCATTCACTGCCTCCCATGGTAGTAATAACAATAATAGTAATATTAATTAGTATTATAGCAACTCGCATTTACTGAGCACTTTTTATGTGCCAGGCATTCTTGTAAGTAATATACTTTATCTATAGTTACCTGGTTAATTTTCATAAAGACTCTACGAATGAGTTAATTTCATCCCCATTTTAAAGATTAAGAAACTGAGGTAGAAACGTGGTTTTGAACCCAGACAGGGTGACTCCAAAGGCAAAGCTCTTAACCATTAATAAGTCACAGCTAACATTTCAGTAGTGATTACCTAATGCCAGCTGCTCTTCTAAGTTTTCACATGTAACAGCTCAGCTAATCCTCACAAATATAACTATTATTCCCATTTTACAGATGAGGCAACCAAAACAGAGAAAGGTCAACATACTTGCCCAGGTCACATAGCAAGGAAGCAGTAGAAGAAGAACTTGAACCCAGGCAGTTTGGTTCCAGAGGCCACAATCTTGTGCACTGAACTGTACCCCAGTGCCATGACCAGATTTAAGGGTAATCTGAGTGCAGTGGCCATGGCTTACATTTCTCTGCATCATTTGTGGTGCCAACACTATAGAATTTGATAAGCACTTAATAAATAGTCAATGAATTTTCTTCTAAAATAATCCTGATATGTACAGAAATCATATTCCAAGTTCATTGCAGAAAATCTGGAATATATGAATAGGCTCCAAGAAGAAATGCAAGTCATCCTCACTACTACAGGGATAACAACAGCTAAGGTTTTGGTGTTTTTCCAGTCATTGTTACAAAATAGGGATCCTACTCTATGTCCCGTTTTGTAACCTCTTTTTTTCTCACTTATCATTACATCGCAAACATTTTCCCATGTTCCTATGTTTTCTTCTGCAACTTCCACAGAGCAATAATCTGTGATTGCTCAAGTGTCCTGCTCAGGGTGCTGCCAGCAATGAATCAGAGTGTCCCCCACAAACAGTCCCCTCCATTGACCTCTCCATCCTCCACATGTGCCCACCCTATACACACGACCCTCTTTTACTTCTGAGCATCTCTGGAAATCTCATGGCATTCCCGTTGCCTTCCTCCTTAGACTCAGGGTCTCCTCCACTCCTGCCAATGGTGTGTCCCTATCCTTCTCAACACCCTATATCTCAACTATTCTGTTTTCCCCTCCCCAAGTCACTCTGCATCCTTCTCACACCCTCCCTCAGTCAGGATCGAATTTCCCCATCCTGTGCCCCATTCTCACAGGACTTGCTAGAGACAATCCAAATCTAACAGCAAGCTGGCACTAGGGCAATGTCTGTTGCAATGCACAGACAGGGAGACGATGGCAGCTAAGGCACTAGAGGCTATAGCGTGGGAGTACCTCTCAGGGATACAGGTGAATTTTGAACAGGGTCCTCAGAGACACAATGCCTTTACCTAAAGGGGTGTCTGCTGGTATGATTTCAAGCTATCAGACAGGGCCTGTGAGAGCTATTTTGGCATAGGGTGCTCTTTCGATGTACTTTAAACCCCAACAGGGAGGTGGAGGCCTAATCCACTCCAAGGGTGGGGCAGCCTGGGCACCTTGCCCCATTAAGATAGAATGAAAGGCTTTTGAAGGTGGCGGCTCAAGACAGGTGGCTTCTTGATTCTAGCCAAGGTGTCTCAACCAGGTTGGGGGATACAGGGGGCCTGTGCAGACAGTCGGCAGGATGGGGGAAGCCTGGGTGGGGTGAACAGGGAGCTGGGACTTCTTCCAGATTTGCCCTGCCTGCGACCTATGCTGCGTGACTTCAAACACGTGCCTATACTTCTCTGGCATCATTGTCATAATAGCACCTACGCTACCTACCTCACAGGTTTTTCTAAGGATCAGATGAGTGAGATAAGTTCAGTACAAGTGCTTTGCCAAGAGTAAAACCCTAAAGTCAGGTGTGGTTAGGCCTCTCTCTCTTTCCTTTTTTAAAGGGTGCTGACAACTTCATTTTTAAGGCATTTCCTCCCTAGCTACATTTCTCCCTACAGACAAGTGGGGGTAGCAGTGGCGGGGGGTGGGGGAGGCATGGCCTTGATATTCAAGGAACCACGCCTGGGACCCCTGAACTCTGGGCCACTGCAGCCCCTTATTTTTGCCCGCAGAGCTACTCAGATTTTATTACTGGTATTAATTGGGATCCTGATTCATTTCAATAATGTGTGGGGTGACTAGGGCCTGGGTTGCCCGAGACTGAGGGGTTTCTCAGGACGTAGGATTTTCAATGCTAAAACCAGGCCACTCTGGGCACATGAGATGGTTGGTCACCATAGGTGTACCTAGGATTGTATGGGTCAGCTCTGCATGTAGTTTTTTCTGGTGTGGTATCTATATGTCCAGTGTGCTGAATGTGGGTATGTGTGTAATTATTCATGTTTGTATGTAGCGGGTGAGTGTGGATCTGTTGGTACATTTAGATTTTGTGTGGTGGGTGTATGCTGAGTGTGTAAAGATGTGACGTGTGCATGTGTTTGTGAGATGTGTTCATATGCATAGGGCTTGTATCTGTTGTAATTAGTGTGGTATGGGTAATGTATGCATGCCATTTGTGTGCAATGAATGTATGTTTTCTTCAGCAGAAGTTTAAGTGTATATTTTGTGTTTGGTGTAGTGTGGAATGCATGCATGTCATTCACGTAAGGAGGGAACAGTGCATTGTGGGGGGTGTGTGTGTGAAGTCCAACTGGGTGTGTGGGTGTGACTCGTGTAGTCTCTTGGTAAAATACATGGTGTTTGTAGTGCGTGCATGTGTAAGTGGTGCACTGTGTTGTGTGCTGTTTGCTGTGTTATGGAATGTATTCATGTCTTTAGCAAGCCGAATGAACGCTGTTCTGAATTGTGTTCGGTGTGGGGGTTGAGACGTACCACTAGCGTGTAGATGCATTTGTGTTGTGCTTTGCGTATGCTCCTTTTACTCTGGTGCATGGGCTTTCACGGTCGAGAAGATGTGTGTCATCGGTGGGCCGAAAGCAGAGTGTGGTGTGTGGACAAGTGTGCCAGTGTATCTATTCCGGGGGTGCGGTGTCCACATGTGCATGATGCTCGGGTAGGATGGGCACTGTGGTACGATATGGGCTTCTGCGGTGGCACCCGGCCCGGTGGCTAAGACGTTCCCCCGGCTGGACCTCCAGCCGCCGCCCGCGGAACCAAGCTGCGGGGCATTCTGGGAAGCGGGGCCACGCCCACCACAGGGGCCGCAGGGAAGGGGCGCGGGCGGTGGCGCTGGGAGTGGAGGCGCCGCCGGCCACGTCACTCCTCATCTGGTGCGGGGCTGGGCTGTGTAAGAGCCGCCAGGTGTTTAAATTGCCCGACTCAATAATGCCTCCTGTTGAGCGAGTGCGGTGCCCCGGATATATATTTCCCCTTTTAATCCTCACGGCGGGCTTCCGAGGGGAGTTCTTATCCCCACCCTTATCCCCACCGCACATGTGAGTTACTTGAGGCTCCGAGCGGTGAAGGACCCGCCCCGTTAGGGTCCCTAACACTTTAATTTGCTCCAAGTGAATTTACGGCGAGAAAAACGCAGGAAAATAGAACTCCTTGGATAGCGTGACCCTGATTTTCCCCCGAAAACCTGTCGAGAAGTGCTCGCCAAAATCTCTCCTAAGATCTTTGTGAATTTCTCAACTGTGATGAAAAGGGAATCCAGGTTTAATATCGTGAAAACAAGGTTGGAAGAAAGATGTTAGATAAGCTTGTATGGTATAATATGATACTTTCCAGGGGGTGTGTAGTTGAATAATAAAGAAGCTAATTGTTCAAAATTATACTTAATACCCTTTGTGGAGTAAAGGATTAACATCTCTTTTTAAACTTCACATGGTCGTACTTCAGATTTGTTTCTGGTGGGATGTACCTCCTCCTCCTCTTTCCTTCTTTTGAACTAATGCCGTTTTCCTGTGCGTTCGATGTATTAGGTCGAACATATGAAATTGCCCTTTATGTAGATCAAAACTAGTTAAATATTGGCAATTTCATATGCTAAACTTAATGCATTCTGGAACACATATTTTTACAACATGCAGGGGAAATGTTTATGCCCGATCAGAGTTGTAGAAGTCTTGAGATTCTCACTGATTGGAGCAACTTGCACTTACATATTATGGCTGGAGGCGTGGCTTAGAGGAGTGCCGGCTCACCAGCTAATTGTTAAATATTCAAGAATCTTGCAAACCAGTTGTTAAACCACTGGTAGTTTGAAATCAGCCACGGAGGCAGTATTTTCACCGTGGAAATTGCCTTTCCTTCCCACCCTCCTAGAATCCAGTTTAGCAGCACACTACTGGTCGGTTGCTCTTCTTAGGTCAAGTGAAGTCACTTTCCCTAGAACCATGTAGATCGCCAAATAGAAATTGAGACTGTGGGAAGAGTGGAAGGGATGCTGGGGAGACAACCAACAAGCTCAGTGTCTGTGGGAGAAACATTGGAAACTTGGAGATGAGCTATCACTTGCAACTAGTACACTTTAGTTAATTATTAAGTGTGTACCATGTGCAAGGCACTGTTTAAAGTACTTTGTGTTAACTCATTTGATGCACTTATGAAGTTGATATCATTAATATTCCCATTTTATGAATGGAGAAACTGAGGCTCAGCTAAGTAACTTGACCAAGTGGTAGTAAGTGGTAGA